GGCACTAATAAAATATATAAATAGACGACGAATAATAAGTTTGGACTTTGCCACTTTGGTATCATGCCCTTCCATTTTTCCAAATATTCACGTACAAGTAGAATAGAATATATTTTTGGTTCCAAAAATTGAGGAATCGGCATCCAGTTTCTGTGTCTATCATATCATTCCACTCAACACTACCCGGTCTTTATGACAGACAAAGGCATCGTGGTCGGCGAACAATCTGCTGCAACTACACTACAGCAATAGAGAAAGATTATTTATGTATACAAATACAATAAACCCTACAAAGATAACCTCTCGAGGTGTTCTTCTTCACACTAACCGTTAATTTCTTTCATACACTGTGGGTTTTGTTTCAAAATGAGCTCTTTTTCAATCCCCAACTTGGGATATCTTGGTATAATTTCAGGTGTACCCAAGTTTGGATTTTCAACAATTCTTCATCAAAACAAGGGATTTCGTGGAGTATCAGTAAGGAAAATGGCATGGAGTTTGGAAAAATGTAATGAGGGTATTGAAAGTAGTACGTCTGGGATCGTACGGCCCGCGACGGAGGCTTACGCTGATGAAGCAATCCAAGCTTTAAGAACTGGAAAGGTTATAGCCGTCCCCACTGATACACTCTACGGTTTCGCTTGTGACGCTTGGTAAGTTTCTTCACATCTCCAAATTTCTCGACGCATTCTAAGTGTTCGACGTTTTGCTTCAATGAACTTCATCTTAGAATATATACTTTAATGTGAACCCTTGATGCAACAGCTCTGTAGATGCAGTCAATAGAATATATGAAATCAAAGGACGTAAACACACTAGCCCTTTAGCCATCTGTGTTGGTGATGTAAATGACATAGGCCGATTTGCTGTCACAAACCATCTGCCTCTTGGCCTTCTTCACAATCTCCTTCCAGGACCTGTAACCCTAGTTCTAACAAGAGGTTTATACTTCTTAAATCTATCTTATATGTTCTATTTTGTCCTGTGTGGGCCCAAGGCTAAAACTTTTGTTATTTTTAGGGGAATCAAGTGTTCTTGAGAAATCTTTAAACCCTGGATTGGATACTGTAGGAGTTAGAGTACCTGATTTTGAATTTATCAGGATGATTGCTCGTGGGTGTGGAAGTGCATTGGCGTTAACAAGTGCAAATCTTAGTGGACAACCGAGTAGTTTAGATATTAAAGAGTTTAAGAATCTTTGGGAACATTGTAGTTTTGTTTATAATGGTGGTGTACTTTCAGCAGGGCGTGAAGGGTCAACGATTGTTGACCTTACTATGATCGGGAAATACAAGATCTTGAGATCCGGGAGGTAAATCTTTCAAATCCAATTATATATTTATATTGGGTGCTCCTATTAGCACGAATTTATTCGTGTATAAGCAATCAGTAGACAATCAATCCCATCATCATATTT